TTTTTTTCCTCTCTCCTGGACACTGATGCTGACACAGTTGATGTGATGAACTGAAGCCTCTGTTTATTGATCGCTGTTTCCTGCGTCACATTTGCACATTTAGCCTCCGTGCTTTCAGGGGTTTCCTTTGCACACAGTTAAAGACTTTAAAGAATTTAAATTGCATATTGTTTGATAAAGCCTTTCAGTTTTGTTCAAACACTTTTTCACCAAAAAGTAACGTAACTTAAAACAGTGTTATAGTGTTTTTTAAATTTGTGAGTGGTGTTCCCTCTCTCAGCTGCATGAAGGGCCAGAGGAGGAAAGCCTCTGCTGCCTGGTGTGAGGCATTCTCGTGGTCTGCAGGGAGGGGCAAGAAAATCATTTTTATTATGTTGTACAAATTACTTATGGCCTTTGTCTGGAAACCTGATACAACAATCGGATGGAAGCTTGAATGAGAACATTTACTGCAAAGCTACGGAGAGATCATCTTAGTTTCTTAGCTGCAGGTTTCTCCAAAATAAGTATTTTGAGAGTAGTGACTATGTAAGATTTCTTATAGCATTTTCCATACTCTGATAGTTTTGTTGCAGTATGTACCATATTCAAGTAATTTTGTTTGTTAATGAGGAGGTTAAGATCTCACTGGTGGACCTGATTAGCTGCTAGTGTAAGCTAAGGGCTTTCTGAGATATCTTTTTAGTCTGAAGCGTGGTGTATGCTCCTATCTTCTCTTTTTATGTTTTACTTAATTTTAGCAGTGTACAGCATCTTTGATTTCTTTTCAGCCAAAGTTACGAAAAACCCAAGGAGGGAAGCAAGAGAAGAAAATTATCCATCCTTACAGCCGAAAAGCCGCACAGCTTGCAAGGGAAGCACACAAACAGGAAAAGAAGGAAAAGTAAGTTGACTGTGCAGAATCAGTGTACAAACCAAAGGACAGCTTCACAGTAGATATTTTTTGTTCAGGGAAGGAGCAGGATGGTGGTGGAAGGAGACTGTTATGCTGATATAACCTTAAGATAAATGAAAGACCTATGTAACTTAGTACTGTTGGGCCATGTGACCTGTCAGGTTTACATTCATGAAATCAGCTTATACAAAGTATATCTTTCTGCTACTTCATTTTTGGTACTGTCTTTACAAGATAGGTTTCTTCTTGTCACAGTGTTTTGCTTTTTGAATGACATGACGTTGGCGATTTCACATGCAGCTTAGTCACCTAGTTTGACTTTAAGATTTAATAAGAATTCTGCTTAGGGTCTAGCATCTTTTGCTGAAGTGCTGAGTTCATAGAAGGGCAAACTCAGAAACTTTACTGCAGAAGAGAGATTTCTGAATAAAAGTGAATAGTTAACTCCTCATTGGTGTTGCCCTGATGTTCCATGGCAAGTTTGGTTTTCTGCTTTTAAGTGTTACTTCCCCCTTCTACAGGGAAAAGACAGATGGCCTTTAGTTTCTATTCTGTCGCAGATTTCTCATTTCTTTCTGCTGAACAGCTGAAAAGTCTACTGCTTTAAGGATATTCAGAGCAGTGTCAGGGTGTCTTGGGCTACCAGAGCCACTTTGGTGGCAGTGGAGTCTTAGTCCACTGCTGGCATTGCCAGATGAACTAAAGGCCACTTACTAGTTTTGAGGACACAGGGTTCAGTAAACTGGAAATGTTACTGACTTTCTAACTGATTCTCTAGACAGATGTACTTGTAGTAAGCAATTGTAACACACCTTACCATTTCTCATATGATGATCTAGACTACCTTAAGTTTGGGTTTGGTTTTTTTTTTTTAAAAAAAAGCTCTAGATCCTCCAATGACAGACAAAAAATTAAATTCTTTAGTTTATTGGAATTTTCCTTTCTTTCAGCAGTTGTCACCAAATGTATTAATTTTGAGAATTGGTCATCTGAGAATTGGTTCTAGTGCCTAATCTTTACTATGCAGATTTCTGTTTGTGCTTGCCAGAGTAGGTTAAGTCTCATAGCTCAACACATGACAGTAGCAGTCTTTTATCTGCACTAGCCCCCACAGTTGTAGTTTTACAGATGATATTCCAGTTGCTACATCATGGAATGCAGCTCTCTGTTCAACCATGTTATTTTTTTATTTTATTTTTTAAGCCACACCAATAATTGCAATACTAAAAAAATGGATTTGTTGGATTGAACAACAGTTAACTTCTCAGTGCTGGAGAACCAGGTTAAGCAGGAATTAATTGATGGTATATATTTAGGGAGATTACTTCCAATGCCTTGCAATTAACACCTTATCTTGACTAGCAGTACATGTAGAACAATTGCTGCAGTGCCCTCCTTCTAACTCCTAACACCCATTGTCAGTGGTTGTTAAAGACAGCTAAATGCTCCTTGTCCTTCATTTGAGCTACAGTAGTTTCCCTTCTGCACAATGACAGGGACAATGTGCACTTCTGCACAATGACAATCCTCTGTGAAAGCTTTTTTTTTGGAGGATGTAAGTTCAGTTCACATACTTTTGCTAACACGTTTTAAGTCTTACCATGTTACTTCAGCCTTTCTTTATAAAGTTAATTGCATTTTATAAAGCAATTTTACGTAAAAGAAATGAACCTATTTATAAATTAGTTTTTTACCTGTTTAAGAGACAGTGGTCTTTATAGCAGTATGGTTGGCCTTCCTGTTCCTCCTCTGTAATGCAGCAGAAGGAGCTAGTCTTGGCACCAGAATCCTTCCAAGTGAAACAAGCAGACTGCCTTTTGGTACATGTCACAGGTTAACTGAGGAAAAAATGCTATTTTATGAAACACCATTAAGTAATGGCAGCTGAGCAAGCTAATAAAAGGTGAACTTCAGGCAACCCAGTGAAAGAAAAGATTGTTTATCCTGCATTCTTGTTGGGAGGAGCGAAGCCTAATGGCTTCACAGAGCAGAAGTGCAGCATAGAGAGAAACTCAGTTTAAGATTAGAGCCTGGAGATTGCTATCCTTTTATTTAAGCTCTCTTTCTTGATTCCTGCCTTTTCTTTTTCAAGCTTTCTTACTGTTTCAGGTGTGAGGCTTCTAGGCTGGTGGTAAAAGATGTAGCCATTCATTTTGCATAGGGAAACTGTTCCACCAAAAGTAGTGTGTCAGTCTGAACCATACAAAGCTTCTTGTAATAGCAAAATTATCTATCTATAAATAAGATTTCTACATCTTGCAGTTCTGGGTCCTAAACTATTAACTAGTGTTGTTCACAGATCTGCACTTTTTTCATCTGTTTTGTTGTGGTGTTCTAAAAATAACTTGCATTTGAATATAGGCAATTGGAGGATGTTTTTACATTCTGTACTGTTTTGGCTTGAAGATCAGTTTGCTCAAAAGCCATGAATAGTCTTGATTTCTTTTCTTCCCTAATGTCTTTAAAAGTCTTTTTAAGGGTTCTGTTTTCTTTTGGATCTCTATCTTAATGAGCAGCTTGTTAAATCTTAAATCTGAAGTTGGTGTGGCTTTTGGTTTGTTTTTTTTTTTAATATTGGGAGTTAAGCATGTGCTTCAGAACAGTCAGTTTAGCCACTAACCAGTCTTTTTTAGTATACTTACTTAGCTTTCAGTTTCTTTAATAGATTCTGATGATGAGGTTTAGGTTCAGTTTGCAGAGCTCTCATAGACAAGATGAATTTTGGTGCTGTAGACTGAGGAAAGATTTCCACTGCTACACTCAGGACAAAGTAGCCTGCACCAGTTTTTTCTTCCTCATTGCTTTTGCAGGTCTATTAAATGTCTCCTTTTAGCAGCAGCTGATAGTATTAAATAAATGTTCTGACATTGTCACTTCCAAAATTGAGACTTAACTGCAGTAAGTTTACTGAAGAGTTTTTCACTGGAAAATTACTTACTGAATTTGAAGTATTTGCAGAAACAATTTTCCAAATTACTTCTATTTAATGACAACTCTGGTTGGATGATTAGTACATCCTTTGATGGTGAATAGGAGAAGCTCCCTGGTAATCTCTACAGTATTTTCTTTTTTAGTCTTACCTACAAATCTGGTACTTTTTTGACCTTGCTTCTTAGCATATAGAAATAATTCTTCTTAGAGAGCCCAAAGCCAGAGGCAGTATTCCCAGTATGATCTCACCAGCCCTGAGTAAAGAGGATAATTTCCCTGTACAGCCTAATGTACTTCTGCAGCATGGAAAAGCTGATTCTTTGATTTTCCTTCTGAAACAAGGATCAGAGACAATCCACAAATATAGGAAGTTGATATGGTTCATCTGTATTATTTTAATTATGCTCTGGATTTACTTGCCAGAAGATGCTTTAATTGTGGTTGGCTAGATCTGTGCAATAATACTTTTTGAACATACGTACATTTTATCTGTAGTTTACTATTCAATAAAGGTATTACTTTGGGTGTAGGAAGACCTTGAATGGCGTGTTACTGGAAGGTGAGAATATCTTTTGTAGGTGTATCAGTACATGTTTGCCTTTGTTGTTTTGTTTTTTTTTTTTTTCCTTTTTATACTTAGCTGGAGACAGGATTCAGGACTAAAGACAGTTTAGGTTTCTATTTACTTTTTTACTTTTTCTATATGATGGAGGAGGAGAAATAACTTTTGTGCACATTCCTCTTTCTGTTAAACGGGAAAGGAAATTGTATTTAATTATGAAATGCATATTTGAGTATTTTTTTGCCCAAACAAGATAAATGAAAAAGGGAAGACATTACCCATAAGGAATTTCAGTACTTAATGCAGCACTAGGAAAAAGGGAGAAATTCTGCTCTGAGTTGCAGAAGTCTTTTACAGCTTCCATTGTCCAGATACTTTTCAATGCAAGCATTCTCAATTGAAATATGACAGTAATAATAAGTTTATTGTCCAGAAATTGGCTGCATTGCAAAAGACCAATCTTGATCATAGTAAGTGGAGACAGACCAACTGTTTTTTTAAAATTGACTACAATCTTAAGTCCTCTTGTTCACTTGAATCACATCTTTTTCTTACCTACATCCCTCTTCTCAGTTCTACTAGTGATCTAATGAGCAGCAACAAATTTCAATATATTGCTACCAATTTATTCTCTCTTAATCTACATGTGAATCCTTATTCCTATAGGCAACTTGTTTGCTTTGTTAAATAGTTACAAAAATGCTCTGGAGACAGCAATAGCTGGTTCACTGGTGCCAGTAGAACACTGATTTTTCTACACTTTAGGAAACTGGATCATAATGGGATATTCCTGGAACTTCTCTTAGTAGTGATGTACCAACACCAGTCATGTTTTGTTTGCAACTGCTGAAATCTCTCTGCTTTTGGTAGCTAAAGCTGATCTAGCACTGAATTTTTTTTATTGTTTTTTCCCTCCTGAGTCAAAATACACCCTTTGTATTGTGTGTATATTGTATTTTTTTTAGGAGTCTGCATTTTCATTACAGATATACTAGTCTAATACTGTCGTGCTCTGAGGTACAAGAGCTGAGGAGCGACCCCTAAGGAGTAGGCAGTAGCCTTAAAATATCTCATTGTGGAGCTCTTTGTTTGTTTCTCCTTAGTTTTTCTGTTGTCTAAACTCTTAATCTCCCTTGAGCCACTACTTTTCTAGTTTGTTTGCAGCAGTGATGCTTTGAGATATACTCTTGCAGATTTTATGTGGAACTGAAAAAATGTTAGGTCTCAAAATTATTTGTTTTGCTTACAGAAATGAAAAATGAACTGCAAAAAAATCATAATTCTTATAGAGGGATTTTCATATGAAAGTGTCCTAAAATGCTTAACCAAACCACTAATTGGGTGTTTTAAGCTAACAAAGCCAGACATGTATAGGGAGAAATATGGAAAATGTTTAGCAACCTGAAACAAGAAACAAGGAAATATGTCCTGTCAACTGTGATTTTTTTTTTTTTGCCTTAGTGAAAGAGCCTGTCTTAGTTCTCAGAGCCATAGATGGCATTTGTGTGTGTGGATATTCTAGGGAAAAATACTGAATTGTGACTTGGCAAATACTTATTCATTGTTAGTATTTAAACAGTTGGATACAGTATCTGAGATAGAGGTGCTGATGGAGCATGAAGACTTTAACCTAGTAATCATCAAGAAAACCACTAATCATCCATATCAGTAATCATGCCTAAGCAGATGATTTTTGGGAGGCAGGTGGAGGAGAAAGTCATTAAGAAGCTACAGCCTGCCACAGATTGCATTCATCCGCTCTTTCGATTGAGCAAAAGATGTTACTTATTGTTTGGAAGGAGATGAGAGAAACTTCCTTCTACTTACCTTATTTGATTAGCCTCCCTGCTAATGCTGCTGTCTTCTAGCAGTCATTGAGGTGAGGTTTTTGTGAAGACTACAATAAGGCAACATCTGATCTTATCATTCGTTATTTCTTATACTGAAATAAGCTTTGTACACCTAGAGACTGAAGGTTTTTCTTCCAGAAGAAAATCCTGGTTATATACTTCCTTGCCTTGATAAATAAATTATCTAGTGACACTTACAGGTGGAAATGGTAATTTGTAGTGTTCTAAAGCATAGATACATGATATGATTTATGATTCTAGTCAGGCAGCTTTTCTAGATGGCATATATATAGGTTTTTTCCATGGCAACGCTTTGCAGACATGCTGGCTTTGTTGCCATGCAAGGTTCACAGCAGGGACCACTGGTGTGGAGCTCCAGTGTGTGCGATGTGTGTCCTTTTCTTGGTTGCTATTGCCCTTCAAAACTCCCTGCTGTAAAGTCCTCTGCTGCTTACTACAATTATTATTGAAGGCATCTTCTACAGCCGAGTTTTAAAGCTGACTTCTAATCTAACTCCTTTTTTCCTTTCTTTTTTTATATAGTCTTATCCAGGTCTGTCCTCTAACCCACAGGAACAAGAGTAATTTTTGTTTAGACACTAAAATCTTTTAAATAATCAACAAGCTTGAGTGTTTTTAGCAAGTATGATAAAACTCAAACCCCATTGCTTGACCTCTATAGATTTTTGCATTAAAAATGCTTATCCTGGATGCTGGGGTATCTATAGAAGTAAAAAAGCTTTTTTTGAATGTGTTAGTGGAATTCTTAGCAGCTCACACATGCTGTGTATTTCCTTTTATGTGGCTTTTAGATGATCTTCAGAGGATGAAATGCTTCTTGAAAAAGCTAATCTTTATTTTAATATTGTAGGTTTGTGGCCAAGTGACACAAGTATGTTTGTCTCTGGAAAGTAGGGCTTTCTCTTTTGATCTGAATTTTTGTGACAGGTGACAGACTTCTGTGCTCTAAGTTACTTTAATTAACTCTAAAATGCTTATTAAATTCTGTAGAGTAGAAGGAATTTAATGAACGAGCACATTAGCTTTGAACTGTGGTGAACTTTGGTATTTGTTCTTTGTCAATGATATCCTTATGATTTTCTTTATCAATTTTCTTTTTAAATAAAATAGACTTCTTTAAAAAAATTGTCAGAGGTCCTTGGATATATATACTGAACATGCATGGCTGTGGTATTTTTTCCAGTGACAAAATTCATACTTATCCCAACAATGTATTATTTTCCTTTCTGGTAATAAAGTGACATTGAGCAACATTAGTTGCTGCAGACTGAATCTGATAGCTTCAGGACAAAAACACGTGAGGCACTGTCATACCTGTTAGAAAACTTGTGTTTCTGAGAACTGCTCAATAGGATGGGAATTAATCCCAAACTGAATTGTGTACACATATCTCATAGAGTACAGAAAGCTTCAGGTAACCCACCAGGCATTGAAGTGAAGTGAAAAATACTTTTAGGTGGATTTTTAAAATCTTTTATATAAAAGTTGTTAATTTTGGTTTCTTAACACATTAACTTTTACTGTTCACTAAGCACAAAGTTTAATTATTACAAGTTAATTATATACTAGAATGGTATTTTTCACATTGTATGCTTGTTTGCAAGGGTGCAGTGTGGTGAGATCTTTTGCTCTTGATCTCCAACTCAATAAACATACCAGCACAATGTTTGAAATAATGAAATTATTACAATGCAGGTCTTCTGTGAAATTCCTTTTGATGTGCTTTAAGAAGAGTGTTGTGTCCTGTTTTCATCCATTTAATTTCTTCCAAGAAACTGTTTAACTTAATAAGTTAACTGGACAAATTTCAGATAGTAGTTTTACCAAAAAGTAGAATTTTCAGATGAAGCGGAATAAGTTTTACATTGTTCTGAATTTGACAAATATTTCTGTTTGGAATTTTACCTTGACTTTCACTGTGAATCCAAAAACAAGATTTTCTGGAGAAAGAAAATGAAGATAATTATTTTTATGATACTCATTCCTGGCTAACATGCCTGTTTTTTCTCTGTTAGGTTGAAAACTGACAAAGCTTTGCGTTTGAGCATCATTGGTGAGCATAAACTTCTATTACTGAATACAGTACTCTTTAGTGTAGATTTTAAGTACTACCAACTATAGATGCTCCAGTTAAGAGTCTCTTTCTCTAAAATCTGACTCTCTAATCTTGAAATCGACTTTTTGAAATGCTAAAACACCTAACGTTTTAACTCAAGTAGTATATATGGGGTTGAACTTGGGGCTGAATATAGCTTAATCTTTAGTCAGTGTACATGACAACAGAGCAATATAGACCAAATGTCTGTTCTATACATCTGTACCTCTATTTATTGTACTTGTCTCCATGCTGTCTCCCACAGTGTTCTCCTAGAGAGGCTGGCAGCTCAAGGCTCGTACAGGTGCACTCTTTGCAGTGTAAAAAACTGGCTGCATGGCCAAGCCCAGAGAGTTGTGGTGAACGGAGCTGAATCCACTTGGCAGCCGGTCGAGTGGTGTTCCCCAGGGCTCAGTTTTGGGGCCAGCTGTTTAATATCTTTATCAATGATCTGGTTGAGGTGATTGAGTGCACCTTCAGTAAGTTTGCAGATGACACCAAGCTGGGCAGGAGTGTTGATCTGCTTGAGGGTAGGAAGGCTCTACAGAGGGATCTGGACAGGCTGGATCGATGGGCCGAAGCCAGTTGTACGAGGTTTAACAAGGCCAATGTCGGGTCCTGCACTTTGGTCACAACAACCCCATGCAGCGCTACAGACTTGGGGAGGAGTGGCTGGAAAGCTGCCTGGCAGAAAAGGACCTAGGGGTGCTGGTCAACAGCCGGCTGAACATGAGCCAGCAGTGTGCCCAGCTGGCCAAGAAGGCCAACAGCATCCTGGCCTGTATCAGAAATAGTGTGGCCAGCAGGAGTTGGGAAGTGATTGTGCCCCTGTACTCGGCACTGGTGAGGCTGAACCTCGAGTTCTGTGTTCGGTTTTGGGCCCCTCACTACAAGAAGGACATTGAGTTGCTGGAGCGTGTGCAAAGGGCAACAAAGCTGGTGAAGGGGCTGGAGAACAAGTCTTATGAGGAGCAGCTGAGGGAGCTGCGGTTGTTTAGCCTGGAGAAGAGGAGACTCAGGGGAGACATTATTCTTCTCTACAGCTACCTGAAAGGAGGTTGTAGTCAGGTGGGTGTTGGTCTCTTCTCCCAAATAGTGAGTGATAGGACAAGAGGGGGTGGCCTTAAGTTGCACCAAGGGAGCTTTAGATTGGATATTAGGAAAAATTTCTTCACTGAAAGAGGGTTGTCAAGCATTGGAGCAGGCTGCCCAGGGAAATGGTGGAGTCACCATTCCTGGAGGTATTTAAGAGACATGTAGAAGTGGTACTTGGGGACATGCTTTAGTGGTGAACTTGGCAATGCTAGGTTTACAGTTGGACTAGATGATCGTAATGGTCTTTTCCAACCAAACAATTCTATGATTCTATGCTTTCTTTCATTGCTTGTGAAAGAGGATGATATATGTAGGTTCACAGACACACTGTTCTAGCAAGTAAATTAAAAACTTTGAGACACAACCTGGAATATTTTTCTCTTTCATATAATTGACACTACACCTCTTCAATTTAATCTGCATAAAAATTGTGATGATCAAACCTCTTGCTCAGCCGTTGTGTTGGGCCTTTTTTTTCCCCTTGGGACCTTCCTAAGTTTCCATCTTAAGCACTTGATCCGGTGATACTTTAAACACTGATTTCTAGTAAAGCAAAATGTAACTTATTTTTTTATGTAAGGAAGATATAAAATACATATTAAATGATGTGGTTTATATGTCTGTACCAGGTATTTCATACCTGGTACACACAATACCAGTGAGTCTGATGCCATTCAAAATCTTGAAAAACGTGGAGTTATTTCAAAAAACTTTGAAGAACTTTAATCTGTGTTGGTGCTACAGTGATGGTGTAATCATTAATATTAATTTCATTCTTGTAGGAGAAAAATTGGAATGGTTTCAAAGTCACCTTGACCCCAATAAAGTTGAGTACACGAAGAAGGAAGCTGGTGAACTAATTGAAAAGTAAGACTGGTGTTAAAAACAGGATTAAAAAGCTTAATTTGTCTTTTAAATAAGGTTCCTAAATAAGATCAGTAACGTGATGATGACTCAGAGCAGGACTTTTTATATATTACTATTAATAATATCAAGTATTTGATTTTGTTGCAGCTGAGGTTAATTATATATTGGAAGATGTATATATTCATACTAGAATTACTGAAGTCAGTCATGTATTGTTTGTTGTTTTTTAAATTATTTAATCTCTGCTTTTGTAGCGTGTGGGGGACTCCAAGTGATTTGGACAGTAGTAATTTAATGAATTTGCTAGTCGGGTTATTAATTGACACTTAAATGCACAGATTTCATTATAGTTACTCCTTTATTCTTCTTTATTGTTTAATTTTCTTTGCTGAGAAGATTAAACAGTACTCAGGTGGATCAATTCAGAGTAGGAAATATGAAAACTGAATCTGCTAAGAAAGAACTTGATTATTTCTGTGCTGCTGGATGTGTGTACCTGTGGCTTGTCACCATTTGTCACCTGCTAGCTAAATAACCTAATATAGATGTTTTCTTACACAGGTGTACTCTATCAGTTTCCTTTCAGAAGCTCTGATATATTTCCTACACTGTTCATGAAACCTGTAAACTGCTAATCCACACTAGTGATACTGTCAAGGCAGTAAAATCTTACTTTTTGGATTTGGGTTGGATGTTTGCGACATTATGTAGAACACATGCCAAAGAAGAACTTTAATTTAAAAATTATAACTGAGATGGTGAAATTCAGCAATTAAAAGTTGTGAATACTTATATTTAACACTCATCTTCCAGAGCAGCTGAATTATAATATGTGAGTTTTGTTTTATCCAAACATAGTTTAAAAAAAGGCAAATGTAAAAACCTCAGTCATTCCGGAAGCCACAGGTGATTCAAATTAAGTTCTAAATGGAGCTTCCACTTTGAAGATTAAAGTAGTAATTCAAATCTAAGAAACATCTCTGGTTAATATAGAAAATAAATACAATTAGTAAAAGAACTTCTTAGATTATCAAAGTAATTCTATTTTGCAAAAGTTTTGCATGATTGCATCTAGCATAAATGCACTTTATTTCTTTCAGTTATATTTGTCGATTCAATGCTGAATTGGAGCAGATTGAATTACAAAACAGTATTAAAGGTAGACAAGGAAGACAGCATGGTTCACGGGAAGCTGTCATCAAGCAGACCATAGAACGTGAAAGACAGCTCTATGAAGGCTATGGAATAGGTATGTAAAAGCATTAAAAAAAATCCTGTGGTCACACCTTCTCCTCTTGCTCACAAGGCTAGAATCTAAGTGAAATTTCTAGGCATTACCTTTATTTTTCTTTTTAAAGGAATTAACTAACTGCAAGGTATTTATACCTTGCAGAGGAGTTCGGGAGGAGGGGCAGGGTGAAGAAAAGGGAAAAAAAATGGTGGAGATCTGGCTCATATGTTTCTGCTTTACTACTCTGTACTATTACTAGTACTGCCTCTTTAGTGCAGGCATATATAACATTTTTGAAACTAAAGTGAAATTTAATGCACCTGTCAGACACAAATTCTATTCAGCAGCTTGCTTGGACCTTCCAAGCAAGTATGCAAAGTATTTTTTTATCTTAACACACTTCAGTGAGTGAGCATGTTTTAATATGCATTAACATGAAGACTTTATTTGCTCACCACAACATAAGCATTAGAGCTGAAAATTTCCTCTTAAGGTGCATAGTCTTCTTTAAGAAGAAACACTTAAACTCTTTTTGAAACTATTCCTGATTTTGGAGGTAGCACACAGATGCAACCTACATGTGAGAAAGAGAAATAAAAGACTGAAAATTTGATAGCTGGAACTAGGCTTCAGGGAAGGAAGCATCAGTAATTTGATGTAATAAGGAAGACAAAGGGATAATGAAAGTGCAGAAAGTAAAGATGTGTTCTGAGGAGAGTCAAGTACAGAATAGCAGTAAAATTTATGTATTTTTCTGTAACAAGTAAGCACATTGGAGTTGAGCAGTGACCTTGGCATTGGTGCTAAAGTATTACTCAAACGCAGTCCATACTTCTAAAAATGAAAATGTGTCATGGAAGACATGAAAAATCTACATTGTTTTGTGGTTAGGATACAAAGCACAGCAAGGTTTTAGTTGTGTGTCATATTCCCTTTTCCCCCCAATTTATTTTTTTTTAGCAATAAAGAAAATTAATGGCTCTAAAAATTTTGCCAGTGTTACTTAGTACTTTCAGATCCTGCAACAGCAAAGGAATTTGGGAATAGCTGTGCGACTTGATGTGTAATCTTTAGTTTCTTAGAAGGAGGGAAAAAAGTCATAGGAAGATAGATACTATGAATATCATCAAATAGCTCAGTTGTAGGAAATCTGCTTTTTGGTTTTATTTTTTAAATTTTAGTTCTTCCTTTTTTCCTTACTGTTTTGTGGAAAGCTGAAAAGGAAGAGCAATAGGATTAGATAGAAAAATGTCAAATGCACAAGCACAACATAAAAATAAAGAAGAATCCAGAAATATTGTAAGTAAAAATTGAGGCTATTATAGTGTTAGTAAGTAAAGCATTCAGAGAGCATAGTGCAACTTTACATATTAAATACACTCTCAAATCATTCATTATTTGTTATCACAGCTGCTGCAGGTTTTGCTGTCTGTCTAGCACAGTATTCATTCTGGGAAAATAGTTGCTGCTAAATACTGTAATTAGAGATTGGGGATAAATGGAAATCAGCTGGTAGCTGTGCTTTTATGCTGTAGCTCATTATTATCCCTGGAAGCTCTATTGAGAGGAGCTTTTATAACTGACTTGGTATTTGTTGGGTTTTCCCCCCCTGTTCTTGAACTCAGTTATTTCTCGTGTGCATGTGCATTTGCTATGAAGCGACTACATGATAAGAACTGTTCACATTTAGGAAAGTCTCCTAAAATTTGATGCTGTGTATATATATTTATCAGTTATTTGTGAATGAAAAATGAATTATTCTTTACTGGCTGTTTGTGAAAGTGATAGATAGGTATCCAAAAGCATTTTAAATTTTAGTCTTTTTTTTTTTTTTAAATAGCATCTGCACAGGGAACATTCAGTCTGTGAGGTTGAGTTCATTAGCAGTTATGTGTCACTTCCTTACTCCTTAAATTAATCTTTACTGCAGTTTTCTTCCTGATGTTTTCATTTGTGTATGTTTTTTTTAATCTGGTCTTATGTTTTCATAGCAAAGCTATTGAAAGGGAATCCTAGATATCTACAGGATATGCCCTTGGAACTTGGAGTCAGCATGCTTTCAGTCGAAAAGCATCATAATTATTTCATCTGAACATCATACATGCTTGATAATTACCTTTTAATTACCTTGCATGTTCTCACAGAATCACAATGTAAATCTTGAGGAAAAACAGCCTTTAAAGGAAAACACACCAGTTTTGTTAGTGAATTCTTGAAACTTCAGGATAAAAGAAAATTTATTTAATTCAGATGGAAGTTGTATCATTTACACATATCTGCTAGTGTAACAACTGTACTGTTTGTTAGCTGCTGTTTTCTGTAATGATCATTATTGTGTAACTTAATAGCTCTTTATCTAAAGAGCGTCTCCATTTTCTAACATCCTTTTCCTTTTTTAACTTCAGGCTGCAATATCATCCTTTGACCTGACTTGGGTGTTTCTCTGTATGACGGTCCTAATGGATGTGATATATATGCAGCCTGTATTCTGTGCACAGCACTGTCAGAGCAGTGACATTTCAGTCCTTGTGAGATGTAGGTAAATCTTTTGTGCGCATCTTTGCTTTGGAAGAGAGAAATGGTTACTTCTGTGAAGAGCAATGATGTTTTTATTAACAGCATACTTCTGGAAGGAAATAAAACATCCCAGCAGGCTGTCACAGAGCACTTGGTAAAAAGAAGTGCTGTGGGACACAGCTTTAGAAGGGCACTCTGACACCAGGATTAGCTCCTCCATCCCCTTTTTCTTTAGCTATGCTTTAGAACCCCTCCAGTCCAAGCCTTGTGCACAGAGGCAGGATTGGTTAGACCTACAGCTGACAGAAACTTTTCACTTCTGATGCCCGTAAGAACTTTGAAGTGATCTGATCCAGTGCTTCTCCATCTGAACAGTTGGAAAGGTTTCGACTTTATAGTATTTTACACAAGTTCTGTGTTACAAATCAAGCTCAGTCACTTTGTCTTTTTCCTTGTCACAAAATGATGTTAAGCACTAACGTCTTTGTGACAGAGTTTGAAAGCTAACACACTGTTTGTTCTTCCTCAGAAGAAAGACAGAAAAATAAAACATTATCTGAAAGGGTCAGAAACATGACAAAATTGCTTAGTTAAATTTTTCAGTGCTATTTCGTTATAACACATAGGATACACACACATTGAATACTTCCTCTTAAGAATGCCAGGCAATATCTGCTCCCCAAAATACCATCGTCATTTCTTTTCCACTAAACCCTGTGCCATATTTCTCCATCTTCCATTTTTTCCATCTTCAGTTCAGAAAACACTTTCCCGTGACTTAACATTTCTAAAGTAAACTAAGAATTTCACAATTAGGAGCAAAAACCAGGACACTGTTTCATGCTAAGGAAATACTTCTAAGGCACGTGTTACTAATCTGAAAATACAGCGCTACTTCAGCTTTCCACCATAATTGAAAAAATCCATTACTGTGCAGTATATAGTTTATTTCTATACTCATGGGACTAGAGTTTCTAGTTCTGTTCTTCCAGCTCTGTAGTTTGCATTGTATAACATATTGCAAACACATGTGTAAGCATCACTTAAAAGTTTTGCTACTGCCAGAGTAGTAAAGATCGATGCAGTGCCAAATCTTGGTCTGTCACAGAATCTCCCCCTTTCAGAATGCCTGCTTTCTCGTGATGTTGGTTGAGCCCTGGATGACAGGCTAGATAAAATTATTAGAATATTCTCTTCGGAAAAAGTCCTACATAAGTTAATAAATGCCATTAAATTATTTCCAAGGTGTTTTTTTCAACCAAAAAAAGCAATTGCAAGTGCTTCATTTGAGAGTCTTATCATTTAGGTTTGTCTGTGAATAGCACTGAACTCTATGTTGTATTCAGTGCTTTGACAGAAGGAACAAATACAAATCTCAGCATATTGCTGGGGCATCTGTCTCAAATGAGCATGGTGCCACTTCTGCCAGACTCACTGTCCCAGAAGCAAACTGAGTAGGCGTTGCTCCTTGTAAAATACTTGACAGAAGGGAAGAACTTCTTTCTCGCACAGGGGCTAAGATGTTTCAGGATTTGACACTCTGCTGCCAAGAGTGCAGTTCAAGGGACTGCAAAGAAAGCAAGGGGAACCATGGCTTTGTTTCAATGTGTAGTTGGGCAGGGTGGATCTAATGTGGTGTTGGTGTTTATCAGAACCAAGGAATCAGCAGACAAAAAAAGAATTAGATAAATGTTTCTTTGCCTTGCTTTGCTCAGCTGTGAGCAGAAAGAATCACTTTATTTACCAAGAAGCAGGCTAGAGAAATCAGTGTAAATTGGTATCAAAAGATTTTGCATATATTATTGTTCTTCAATTGGTAACTTTATAACCCAATGTGAAGGGAAGGAATATTTTTCTGAATAGTAAAGACTGTCTTGGACACAAAGGTAAGTGACAGGTATCATCATCCTACGTTCTGTAGTAGCAAAATCATCTATAATCCTGCATTGATAGCATGACCTGATTTATTACTCTTAAGACTCAGGAAGGGAGTCTGGTAGGAATGTTTTGGCTACTCCAGGAGGGAAAAATAAAGAGTCTGTCCCATAGGTCATGAAGATGTTTGCTTTACTTTTTATTACCAAAGTAAAAAAGATTTGTAGTGAGTATACTCTACAACTATAACTCTACTGCTGATCTGTCTTGCTTGTAGTGGAGATGTAAGTGCTTTGAAATTTTTTTCCAAAAACATTTCTAAATACTTATGATCCACTTAGTACTCATTAATTTATAGTGAGGCTTATATATTTAGGTCAGTTTTGAAACTTAAGCTTTCTTATTTTACCTTTTATCTGCCGTGCATATTTATAGTAAGTTCTGCAGCCCAAAATTGTCTTTTTGTTACATGAGTGAGTCTGTTAAAAACTAGCATAACTAGACCTTGATCTTGCTTGAGGGTGTTAGTTATGCTTTTAAAACAAATAATAAATTAATTATTTTCCTAGTTTCTTCGCTGGACTTCTTTAGAAGGAAACTAAATTTTGCTATTTCTCCAATGTGTCAGTTTAGAGAAAATGAAGCACCCTCTTTTTACTATTTGTTGGGATTGGATTTTCAGTAACTGGTACATTTGAGTTCTGGAACAGTTGATAGGTATAAGTTCACTTTCTTTTCTTTAGCAATGAGAGAGTCTTCCTGTTTATATATTCCTCTAGAAACTTTCTAATGTGAATCCTCATTCTCATATTCTTGGTTTTATAACCTCTGAAATAGTATGTTCAGCCATTTAGCTCACATGTCTGTCCTTGACATGAGACTCACTTGAATAATGTAACACATCTAATAGAATTTAATTTCCTTCCTATTAGAAATCCCAGACATTATGAACAGAAAGCATCTTAAATTTTTCAGGTAAGTTCTTTTTTATTATCACTACTAATCTGTTTATGCAAAACAGTGTTTCTGAATTTGACACGTTGTATGTTTTTTCTCTTAAAAAATTTATGCAAAACTGTCAAAGAATTGGAATTTGAAAAAAACAGAGTGGGTATAGTGTTGCTATTTCAGCATTTCTTGGCTGTTACAGGTTAAATGCTGGTGACATTCAATCATTAGAACATTGGAAGGGTTAGAAAGCTTCGACAGTTAAAATTCCATTTCTGTAACTTATCTTTTTTTCAATATTCTTAGATAATATTTTCTCTTCACCTAAAATTCTCACCTCGGCTGTTCACTGTTTTCACAAGGATTAGCATTTACTGTTAGTGTTTAAGGATCGACATAGATTTATTGATAAATGGAATTACACTGTTTTCTTACCTGAAATGAGATTTCACATGGTAATTGTAGTCATATAACATTTGACTAAGTTACTTGTAGTGACCTAAGTTATTTGTAGTCAGAACTTACCATTCAGTATCTTAAAACAGCACTAAATTCTTAGTCGTGTTTTCTCAGAGCCAGCTCTAGGTGTAGTACAGTGGTGTTTGTGTGTATACACTAGCTGAAAATCTTAAGCGAATTGATGACTTGTGTCCAGTTAAAAGATCCGCAAGCTGTGAAGCCTGCTGCTGGCTCATCTGGGCCAGCAGGCCAGTATGCCTTGGTAATGGATTGAATGAACACTCTTGCTGACAGCTCTATCAAAGGAGATACTTTAACAAAAAATAACAACTTATGAATGCTTATGTTGCCAGGAGTGATAAACCAGTAACTCCTAGGGGTGGTATGTAGCCAGAAGTCATACCTATAGGATACTGGAATAAAGCCAGAAATCTCAGAGAAGAGACAGGTCTCTGGCTGCTGTGTTTATAAATACGCAATTGACTTCTTGTACTGGGACATCTGATGGAAGTGTTGTTGTTTTATTACCTTGGTAAAGCAAAAACATGTCTGTCTTAAAATTGGCAAATACTGTCTCTGCCCTTGAGAAAAATTATCCATGAAGTGCACTTACTATAATCAAGCAAGCATTCTGTTAATTGAGTATTGGGTTTGACTTGTGATATTTAAATGAACCCTTCTCCTTCATGTAGCCTTTTGAAATAATATACTTATGTGAATTAATGTTTACTAATATTTTGTGTCCCCTTGAAGTCAGTCGTACAAGATGTTAATAGTTACCATAAATCTTAATGAAGGACTTTATGTACATGTGGTGTTAGCTCTGCAATTGGGCATCTGCGTGAAGAAGCTCTTCCAAACTGCTTTTTCATTGCTTAAAAGGCTGGGAGTTGAGTGTTTCAAGCCTAAAAGCAGGTGGCCTAAAGTAACTGAGGATATAAATAGTCTGTGGGAATAAAGTGAATCATATTTTTTTTTTTTTTTTGTTCAGAATGTCAAATCTGAAAGTACTTAATTCTTTACAGAGAAATTACAGCTGTAGTGTACAAGATCAGGTGAAAACGTTGGTGCTTATTCATATTGCAGTGAGACTGATAGTATAATTTAGAAAAGCAGCCTCACTTGAGTTAGCATCTTCTGAGGAAAGGTGAATTAACTCTGACATTCCTTCTTGCTATTTCTATTGGTAATTGTTTTTCATTACTTTTTTCTTTTATTTTAATTTTTATTTTTTTTCCTTTAAGGGAATGGGATGGTGATCTGAAGAAACTGCCAAACATCAAAATGAAAAAGCTGTCAGCTATGGATGTTGCTTGCAGTGCTTGCAGTCACCCTGAGGTAGCAGATGTGGAAGCTAAAGAAGAATTAAATAAAGCAGAAGAGGTGGCCTAATGAGCACCAGCTGGTTCAAGAGCTGAAACAGCTGAAGGAAATTCTAAGAAATCTATTTTAATTACCACTGGAAATGAGAATAGATTCCAACTATATTCGCAAAGGCATTGCTAGTGGCATTTTTTATGAGCTCACGGTGTACCTATGGTAAAGAATAAATAGTATATTATTGGGTAAAGCTGTATATTATTGGATAAAATTTTTTGAATATAAATAAATACTTAAAATCTTAATTTTGTCCTTAGTTCTTGTACTATACTTTCCCTTTAGGATGCAGGCTTCTGAGTTGACAAAGCAATTGTAGATTATATTTTGAAATCCTGACTAGTTGAGTAGCTCTTCCCTGGTCATAGAGCAGTCAGGATTCAGCCACCTTTTAGAAATACTTTGTGGTGAGAAATCCTTACCTTTTCCTGGTGATGGCAAGAATGGATGTCATTTAGTATATAAACAGCAGGTACCCTGGTAAACAGTGGGCCTAGCTTGTGGCAACTTTCCTCTGTCTCTTGTGGTGGATGCCTCTAGGTATATGCAGTTTTGTGGAGAGCAGTGATAGGATTCATCTCACAAAGTGCTGTACTGTGTGGCACAGAACACTCATCTTGGGTGTAAGAAATGCTCTCCTATTTGGTGGAAGTGTATATGTAAAAGATCAGATACATGGAACATCAGTTAATCATGGAGAAATCTTCTCTTGTACCTTCTCTTGTCTGAGAATCTGTGTCAGGAACATAGAAAGCTGGAAAGACTTCAATAAAATATGGAGTATTTTATGTTTTGCTAAAGGAATTTGAGAGAATTATACTGTCCTTACCACTCGGTATTGAAGAGTTCAGATCAGAAGCCAATTAAAGTCCCGCCAGTCTGTTTTGAAATACATCTTTTGTCTTTTTTTTTTTTCTCCTGACCCCTCTGTTGAGAAAGCTGTGCATTTTAAAATTAAGTTGCTTAGGACTTTGAAATAGCAGGCTTGCTTTATGAAGCAACTCTTTAGATGCCTTTAAATGTGTATTTCGGGAAGGTTCTTAGCAGATTCTCACTTTTAATACCATAAAATGAAGGGGGGGGGAGGGGGGGGGGAAGGAAAAAAGGGCAAGGGCAAAGCCAGGCATAATTTCACAGCAGGCATTAAGTAGGACATCTCTGTTAGTGCAGATTAGATTGTCTGGACCCAGAAGTCACAGTTCAGATGTACTGTCTGTACACATTGGAGCAGTCACAGTCCAGATGCCTGTTAATTAGGCAGAAGTAATTATTCCTGGCTTCATCATGGTAAATAGTTCCGTGGGCTTCCCAGATTTCTTTTGCAGATATTCTAGGTGTGCATTTTCTTAGCTCTGCAACAAGTGGTACTGATGAGGAGTGTTACTCTGTTAACATCTATATTAATTTTTTCCCTCTTTATAAAATAGGCTTGTGTTATCCTTTCACGTCTTGGGAAACCAGCCTATTTAGGTAATACAGAATTAACCATTGTCCTCCTTAAATGAATCTAAAGAAACCTGAATAACAGACCTGAAGCACGTGTGAGTGATCTAATGCATCTTCAGATGGACTGCAAGTCTTAAACCTGGCTAGAGGTCTCATGCTCTGACACAGCCATATCACTAGGCCATCACACTACTGCTTTATATTTTTGTTTTAAAAATAAGTGTGCTGAAGTTCAGGGCAGGCCTCTGATATTTTTTTAACTTTGTTAAATTGAGCTGTGTTGTGGAATTCAGCTTGTTTAGATTTATAAAACTTGAGCTGTTAAGCTGGTGGAAGCTGAGCCAGGGGAACTGCTCTGAACTAAAGCTGTGTGTGTGTTTGTTCAGTGGTTTGACAGATTTTTTGCCTTTCAGAAGACTAATCTTAAATTTTAGCTTGTGTACAACATCTGATGTGCTTTGAAGTTGTAAATAGAAACATTGCAGTGAAAGTTCCCATCACATTGGGTAAAATACAGAAGGAAAATGAAGTAACTAGGTTTAGCATGCCCTGGTAACAACAGTATATTAGGATAACATCTTGATGAATGATTTAAAAAAGATTGTTGTGCAAAGTTATGGAGAATGAGATATGCTGTATTCCTTGAAAAAAATCACTAATTGGCCATTACAAAAAAGTTACTATTGTGTGGTTGATGTGATAGTCAAATATTTGAAGTTACTTATTTTTTTAATATCTGTTGTTCACACTTCAAGAACATGTTTAAAATTGGGACTTCATTGAGTTTGTGGATTTTCTCCCTTGAAATCCATCTATTCACTGCTTGTTTAGCTGGATTTTAAACTGTATTGTTGACCTGCTGCATAAGTAATGAAAAAATAACAGTTTCTGTGTATGAACTTCGTACATTGATTTATAAGAAAAAATAATATGTAGATGTCAAATATTCATATTTGAATTGAAAGTTAAATTAGGCTTAAGTTGATAATGTGCAAGACCAATTTGCCAGATGGGTTTTGTTACAGAATACTAATGTGGCAATGGGAAAGAAAAACACAAAGCTATTTATTTATTTATTTATTTATTTATTTATTTATTTATTTATTTATTATTTCTGTGCTCAGAGTTTTTGTTCTGAGAAGCCTGGAGTAGGGGTAGAGAGAGTCTTTTGCCTCATATTTGTTACTGAGACAAGATAGTGGAATCTCTTCTGTCACTCATAGTCCAGTCATGCCTGTGCTTTAAAGGCAGCTATTAGGGTTTTGTATGTTGATGAGTTTCTTCCCTATGGTGGAAGAAAAAGATGAATGCTCTCAGGAGATCTGAATTGTTAATCTGTTTCTTTAAAGTTAAAGTCTAGGAAGCAGCTGCTGTTAGCAGTGGGAATGGGAAATCTTTATGTGATGTTCTCTGTTCTTAGAAACAAGCTGTAGGGAATACCTTGAAAGTATGTTTACTTGTAACTACGAATTACAGACTTTAATGTTAAATCCTCTATTATAATTCTCTGTAACTGACAGTGGGGTTTTTTTCTGGTTAGAGATTAATTTTATGGACGATTTATTTTATTCTTAACTTTGTCAGATGTTGCTTCACAATTTCCCTGGTTTTTAATTGTTAACTGCAATGGTGTAATTGTTAAAACTCAAGTTTCTTTAATCATCAGGGCTCAAATTAAACATAAAGATTTCTAGCAAAAAGTAACAAGTTAACATGGAAGCCCACTTTTATATAAGAACTTCAGGGTTCTTTAAAATACTTCTAATTTATTACACTGTACTTTGCAGTGTACTTACTAAGGTAAGTTGATTTTTATTTTTTTTTTTTAAAAAAAGCTATCCTTGAGGTTGGATGTATGTAGTGAATTAATTAATCCACAGTTCTTTAGTGTCAGAAACAAAGGCAACTGAATCAATGGAACGGTTCACTGTAGCTTTCCAATCTGCCCCACAAAGTTGTTTCTAAAAGAATGAGATTTCCAACATATGTGATGAGGAGAAACAGGCATATAGTGAAGCACTCAGTCTCATTATTGTATTTTTCCTTTACCAAGTACGTGTCAATCCCTATGGAACTTCAGTACGTGCAGTTGGATGCAACAAGTCAAAAAGGCAACATATATTAACCATTTTCTGAGACATTGCTAAGTAGTTCAAGGAATATACTTAGAGGGTATCCTATGTGTGTTTATATTTCGTTTTGGTCTTTGCCATAGCAGGTGTACTCATCTCTGTAATGACATTGCCATATGTGAGGACAGAGTTTAGGATCCAAAAAATGTGTATGTTGGGAGTCCAGCTTTTAAAAAACTTTTTTGCTAGACACGTGGCAAATTGGAAAGAGTAGTAAAAAAGGACATTATTGTTTTTTCTCAGCAGAAAATGTTCTCCACTTAATAATTCCTCCAGACTTATTTTTCTAGTAAAGGGCAAAGAAATGCCTGCACTTCAGAAGTATGTCAGATTGGCTGGTTTGGTCAAACTCAGAATCATAAAATGCATACATCATATTTGGATCTTCTAGCTATTTCAAGAGTAAAAATTCATTATGATTGACTCACAGAGTTTCTTCCTTAAAAGAAGTAAGTTTTAGGAAGGTAATAAACTTTGCTAATGAGGTGTTGCTATTTATGCACTTCAGTTTAAGCTGTTGCCTTAAATACAGCTAGCAAGAGCCTGTGTGGAATTCCTGTCGTGAAACTCTAAAAAGCTGACTGTGGGAGACTTACTGGGGTGGCCATGTAATCGTGTTCCCTAAGCCTTAACTGCTTCTATTGCAAATACTGCCCAGTTTTCTTAAAAGGAGCAGTTTAATATGCAACTAGTTACTCATTACAAATGAGAAATAAAACTATTTAAACTTTAAACTAAGTTATTAGACCAAAATGCCAGCATTACTCAAAAACCAGAAGCTTTTTCTAAAGAAATTCAGAAAGGTGGCAGCATTCTACTAATACCATGTAAGTTCACACTCAGTCAACCAAGACAGTAATGTGCTGTTTTGAAAATTTATAAAGTGCCCTTTGCTAGGACATGAACTGGCCAAAAATTCTTGCCCATACTTTTTAAATGAAACATTATTCTTTTTCCTCAGCTCTCAAAATGTACTAGCAAACCTAGAGGTAAAGTGGCACGTGAGGAAGATTCACTAAATAAAACCTTTGCCTGAACTTTCTTCTAGACTGATTTGTTCTTTTGACTGCATTTTTCAGAGCTCCTGTAAGTAGCAGTCTAGCTTCTGAAAGCCATTTTGTTGGTTTCTCTCTTTTTCTGATTTTATTTTAAATCCTATCTAAATCTTGCTACTTTACTTTTCACTTCTTTACTGTTTGTGAACTATTGTTAAATTTTGTAGAACATTTATACCTCTCTGACATACGTATACAGAGAGGTAATGACCCATACCTCGTTAGAGCCCTATTTCCTCCAATTATAAATTACGTAAGGGCTAAAGGCATTGTAACTACGTGGTAGTTTGGTACTTTTTTCCATATTTGTTTAGGGTCATTCTTTCTGTCATACTGGCTAGACACTTTCCCATGCAGCTTTCAAGAGAAGTTATCCATTGCTAAAATAAGACCTAATTTAGTTAACACACTTAAAAGTGATGGTGACCTTCTGTCTTGATTTTTACTTGTACTAGTGCTGACTATTGTATTTTCATACAGATTACATTT